CCTCCTCCTCCCCCCCGAACGATTCGATACACCTCCTTCTCTTGCCCCCCCCCCAAAAAAAAAAGACGAAGAAAATTTTTTTTAATATTTTTTCCCTTTCATTTTTCGCCTCTCTCTCTCTCTCTCTGCCTTTTTTCTTTTCCAGCAAGCAACGTTTCAAATTTTCCAACGTTTGTTGTTGGATTTTGTTTGTTTTGTTTGCTGCTGTTGTTGTTGTTGCCTTTTTTTCCAGGGCAAAGGTCAAGGGAAATCATAACGACCGTTTAAAATGGTTGGGAGGTTTAACGTGGTTTCAGAGCGATTCTTTTCCTCCACGTTTTTTTTTTCCTTTTTCTCTTCCGCCACGTTCGAAAATATGTTTTACTGCTGTCGGATTTTTGTTTAGTGACACGTTCTTTTTGTGTGTTTTCGTGTGCGTGCGTGCGCGTTTTGTTCCCGTCTGTTTTTTTTTTTTACGGTTATTTTATTTTGATCGAAAAATTACCTTTCACTTTGAAAAACATCTCACCTTGATTAATTTCGCTAGAGAGAGAAAGAGAGAGGTAGAGAGAGAGAAAAAATTAATTTCAATCGTAGAGAAACCTGTCGATATTTTTAAAAGGTGTTTGAATACACACCTGGTGACCCCCCTTGACCCCCGAATGCAAACGTGTAATTTTTTTTTTTTTTATTGAAATCGTTTCCTTATTTACGTACCGTAAGAAACGTAACGGATTTTTTTTTTTTTTGAAAGAGGGACGAGGAAGGATAGTTTTTGGTTGTTCCTCCCCCTCTCGCCTCCCTCCCCATCCCTCTTCCCAACCCCCCTCTCCGCTAGATAAAAGGGGTTCGACGAAGGCGTAAAAATAAATTTTTTTTTTTTTTGATTTTTTTTGATTTTTTCCCTTCATCGAAATCTTTTAAAAAAATTCGTTACGTGTCTCGCTTGTTGCCTTTTCGGTTGGTTGTTTGTTTGTTTTTGTTTGTCGTCGTAGTAAACGTAGGAGTTTTTTTTTTTCCCCCAACGAAAAGAGAATTGAATTTGATTTTAAAAACAATTATTGGTAATTGTTAACGGTTCGACGAATTTTTTCCACTCGGGTCGACCGATTGAAATTTTCCGAGACAGGAAATATAAAAGAACGAACGGTCAGAAAAAAAGAAAGAGAGAGAAAATGTTGTCTCACGTTCGGAAACGCGTGTTTATCGAATTTAAATTAGTTTAAAAAAAAAAAGGAAAAAGGAAAATTTGTGGGAAAAATTTCGTCGTCCGAACGTATATCGACAGAAACCAAAAGAGAGAAACGGAAAGAAAAAGAAAAAGTTGGGGGGTGACGGGAAAAAAAAAAACGAAATAAATTAAAAGCTCCCAAATTATTAATATTATTATTATTTTACGAGAAAGGAAAGGAAGGGAGTGTGGTGATGGTGGTGGTGGTAGGGGGAGGGTGGAAAAGAAAAGAAAAGAAAAGGAAAGGAAAGGAAAGGGAAAAAAAGCAACCGTGAAAACTTTGAACTTTTCAATTTAAACTTGAAAAATAAAATAAAAAAAATTATTATTATTATTATTATTATCATCATCATCATTATTGTTATTTTTTTTCTTTTTTCGGGGGGAAAGGAGAAGAAAGAGGTGAGGAAGAGGGGGAGAAGCTGGCAAGAGAAATAAAAAAGTAAATAAAACGAATACAAAAAAAAATCACCGGGGAAAATTTTCATTCACTTTCTCTCTTTCCCCTTTTTCCCTTTTCCCTTTCATTTTCTTTTTTTTTTTTTTCTCGAACCTTCCATTCTTTTTATACCTTGTCCTTTCCATTTTGTGCACTTGTCAGAAATTTGAAAGGAAAGGAAAGGAACGGAAAAAAAGGAAAAAACGAAAAAAAAAAAAATTTTCTTTTCCATTTTCGTTTAATTGAAATTAAATAGGTTTTATTATTTTATTTTTACATTTAAAAAAAAAAAAAAAAGGAAAAAAGGAAAATTTAATTTTTTTTTTTTTTTCGGATTCGCCCGAAAATAATAATAATAATAATAATGCTTATTATTATTATTAGTATTTTCTATTATTTTAATTCAATTTTTATTATTGTTGTCTTTTTCTTTTACGGTTTTCGCTTTTCGTGTTGTCAGAAATTTCTCCTTCCACCATCTCCTCCTCCCCCGTTTTTCCCATTTTTGTGGGGAGAGGGGGGAGTTTTTCCGAAAAATTTTTCCTTTGTTTACGTATTTGTATATATGTAATTTTATTTTTGTTATTTTGGCACGACTGTTCGAATAAGAATTGATTTGTTTTGTTTTGTACGAAAAATTTGCTAATTTTTTTTTGTTACGTGTCAAATTTTGAACGTATTTTTTGTGTGTGTGTGTGTGTGCGTGTGCGCGTTTAAATATGTCTCTCTCTCTCTCTTTCTCTTTTTTTCTCTTTCTCTTTCCATCTCTTTTTCTTACTCATAATTCACACATTCGTGGCTTTTCACGTACGTATATATATATATATTTTATTTATAATTATCATTAATTGACTTAATATAATCACAAGTTCGGTCACTGACCGGATTTGGTCTCTCTCTCTCTCTCTCTCTTTCTCTTTCACTCTCTCACTCTCTCTCTCTTTCTCTCTCTCTCTCTCTCTCTATCTTTCTCTTTTCTTTTTTTCATTTTAAGGCATAATTTGTAAACTCTTATTAATTATTCTAATGAGAGCGTTTGAAGTTTTTTTTTTTTTTTTTTTTTTTTTTTAAGAAAAAAAAAGGTTTTCTTTTCACGCTTCGGTTAAAACATATTTAATGTGGGGGAAGGGGGGGGAGAAGGAGAGTATACGAAAGTTCTAGAACTTTGTCTATCTTTTTGTCTTTTATTTTGACGTCGGCGGTGGTGGCGTTCGTTTTGCTGAAAAAGGAGAGAGAGAGAGAGAATGTTTGTATTTAAAATTATCGAAAAGAAAGAGTGAGAAAACGGGGGGGAAAAAAAGTAAACGTAAAAGGAAAATCGATAAAAATATTTTTTTTTATAGTCTAAACAATAAAGTATCATTTACGATTCACGGGACAGCTGGAGAAAAACCGCTGGAGAAAGAAAAAAAAAACTCGACGTTCGGTATTAACGATCAAAAAAAAAAAAAGAAAATTATTTATTTCTATTATTTTTCCTTTGTTTGTTTGTTTGTTTGTTTATATCTATGGAAAAGTTTACGCGGTTGCCAAATTATCATTTTTTATTTTTTTTTTTATTTTCGTGGAAATAACAAGTGTGTCGTGGAATGAGAAAGAGAGAGAGAAAAATAATAAACCCACTATCTATTGAGTTCCCGAGAAAAAATTTTTTATTTTTTTTTCCTGGAGCAGCAACGGGACGAATATTAAAAAAAATAACAACAACAACGATAACTTTCCCCCTCCTTCTCTCTCCTCTTTTCTCCTCTTTTAAAAAAATTTTTAATAAAGAAATTAAATGGAAAGTTTTTGAAGGGGCAGGTCGGTTGCGGTGAGGACAAGGGAGGGGGTCGGGGGGAAAAAGAGGCGGAGAAAAAAAATCGTTACGTTTTTTTTTTTTTTTTTTTTTTTTTGTTTGATTTTTGCACCTGACGACGAACGAAAGATTTTCCTTTAAAAAAAAAAACTTTGGTGACGTCACAAAATTATTATTATTATTATTGGTTTTTTTTACCGATTGTGTAAACATTTTTTTTTTTTTTTTAAATCTCGAGGAAAAGCTTTTTTTTTCCCGCGCGCGGAAAATTAAATGATAATTGCCAAAGCGAAAAAAAAAAAAAATGGCGACTTTGAAAATTGGATTAATTTTCAAATCGATGACAAAAAAAAAAAATTTCCTCTCCCCTTTTCTTCCCCTTCCCTCTCCTCCCACGCGCTTTTTCTTTTTTATAATTTTGGGAATTGATGTTTTCCCAGGATTAAAAAATATTATTATTATTATTACTTTTTTTTTGTACCTGTTTTTTTTTTTTTTTTTTTTTTGCCCTCACTCGGGTTTCGAGTGAAAATTGAGAAAAGTTCGAGGGGGGTGGGGAGGATGGAAATTGATGGAATTTTCGACAAACGGGAGGGGACTTTTTTTCTCGTATGTGACGTCACGAGCATTCATATTAAAGATTTAAATTTTTTTTTGTTTTGCAAATAATTTTTATTATTATTACGTCATCGTTGTCGTCATCAACATCGTCATCGTCATCATCATTATCATTATCACAACTTTCTTTATTTTTCGGGAACGAGAGAGTGAAAGGGAGGAGGAGGAGGAGGAGGAGGAGTAAAGATGAAATTGAGTTTTCCCACGTGGAAAGTTTCCGGTCGGATACTCGATATTCAGTTGATTTTCTTTTCTCTCTCTCTCTCTCTCTCTCTCTCTCTCTCTCTCTTTTTGCCGAATTCGTTTTCTTCTGCTTTTTTTAAATTTCTTCTTTTTCTTTATACATATAAAAACACACACACACACACAAAAAGAAACTTTAATGTTTTTTCATTCTCTCTCTCTCTTTCTCTCTCTTTTTTTTTATGATGTTTGTTAGTCGGTTTGTTTTTGTTTGTTTGTTTGTTTGTTTATTTGTTTGTTTATTTATTTATTTTTTTTTTCGAAACGGTTTTGAGTCTTTGAAAAAAGGAAAAAAAAAAAGAAAAGTTTTCGGACTAAAAATTTTTATTTTTTTGAATTAAATAAAAAATCGATCGTTACGTTATTGTAAAGATTGCAAAAAATTTTCTGCTTCCACGTGTCGATTTTTTTTTTATTCATGAATTATTATTATTATTAATATTTGTGTTTTTTTCCAATGTAAACTGCTTAATCCGAATTATTATTTCAAGTTAAGATCGGCAAAATATGTGTGTGACCCGCAAAAAAAATTTTTTTTTTTCCCCTTTCATTCGACCTATCGAAAATCGTATCGAAATTTAAATTTTGTATAATAATGATGATAATAATAATAATAATAATAATAATAATAATAATAATAATAATAATAATAATAATAATAACGTAGAAAGTTTTTTATTTTTTTTTCAGACATGGAGAACGAAGTCATGGAAAAATCGAGCGCATCAACCGGATCGACGATTTGCAGCGTTCCAAGTCCGTATTTTTTAGATTCCGCTCTAGCATCCGACAGCGACATAAATAACGATCATCACAGCTCGGAAGAAGAGCTCGAAGTTATAAATAGGAGTCCGAAAGGTCCGGTCCGAAGCAGGAACGCGAGCCGATGCGGCGGAAACGTGTCGGTCAACCTTCGGAGTGCGAGTGTGAATGCTTTGCCGGAAAAGAGAAAGTGGTCGGAAATAAACTTGACGGGTCTTGGAAGTGTCGGAAAACTCAATAGGTTGTGTCTGACTCCGGGTAACAGAGTGGAACAAAGCTCCGGATCTTCGGACGATGAAGTACAAGGTTTTTTAGCCGCCACAATGGGAACCCCCGTTAAATTCCGTACTTCACCTCCGTCGGACGTTGTCAAACCCGGGAAATCCCAATCGCCGCCCCCCAAATTATTCCACTACGAAGTTTCGTCCAGGAAAAAGCACAGGCACATGCATAGTAAACCGCATCATTTGCAAAGACCCTGTTTAGATTTTGAAAAAATGCAACAGGTACGTGTAATCATTTAACTTGTTTTCATTGGAATCCGAAACACACGAGGAAAACCCCGGAAAAATGGGAAATTTATGAAATGGTGAAAAAGATTTGTTCTTTTTCTCTTCCCTCCCTCGCCTTTGGCTCCTCCCCTTCCCCCCCCCCTTGGACGATTCGAATTTTATTATTATTTAATTTAAAAAACCAAACAAAAAAAGGTTGCCACACTTTTACCATTCGGAGAGCTCCACGTGCGCACACACACACGAACGAACCCTTCCAGATCGCCCCCTCCCACTCCCCACTCCCCCTTTTCTTAGTACAGTCTTGCCAATATTAAATTTTGATGAGTTATCTTTGGACGACGATAAACGTTTTTATGTATTTTTTTTTTTTTTATTGCAGGAACAAGTGTTTTCGTTAAATGGTTTTTTTTTTTTACAAAAGTGGACATTTTTTTTTTTTTTCCGATGAAAAGTTAAAATGACCGGAAACCGACCCCTTATCATCATCATCATCATCATTATTATTATTATTTTCACGGAATGATTGGGGGGGGGGAGTTAATTCATTATTACTGACTGTTGCCATAAAAAAAAAAAAAAATTATTTTGCGAATTCATTAAATTTTAGAACAAAAAAAAAAAAAAAATTATTTGATGACGTTCGCTTTGTAAAAATCTCTCAAGTCGGCGTTTAATTGATTAACGCCATTTTGAGTTGATCGATACATCGATCCATCGATCGATTTATCGATTGATTGACTATTTCATGTTTTACCAATCGCGATCGATTGAATCGTAATAGTTTTTCTCTTTTTCGAAACGCAAAATAACAATGATTCGACTGTCATCATCTCGTTTAAGACGAAAGAAAAACAAACAAACAAACAAACAAACGGGCAAACAAACGACTTTGATTCCACAGTAAGTTTTTAAAATCCGTTTAAATAAAAAAAATGGCGTCTCAGACGAATCGAAATTTGATGATCTTACCAAAAAAAAAAATATTTATAAATTTAAACAAAAACAAACATTGATTATTAATAAATATTAAATTTCCACCCCCCCCAGCTCCCGCCGTCGCTGGGGGAGGCTTTTTTTTTTTTTTTTAATGTTATTAATAATTTCCCCGAGCGTTTTATTGGTTTTCTGTATCCGTTTTAGGGCAACAAGACGACGATTGAAATAAATCCGGTTATCGGCAGCCATTTTTTTATCCGTTGCGTCATAGAATCGATAAAACGTTTGTGACGTCATTATTATTATAATTTTCCTTTTTTTCTCGAGAGTTTTATCGATATCGAAGAGTGTGTGTGTGTGTGTGTGTGTGCGTACCTCGGGTTACTTATCTGTCGTTAATTAATTTTACCCAATATTATTATTATTATCCACCATTAAACACGACAAGGCTACTTGTCGGAGTTTTTAAGTATTTATCCGAGGTTTCTACCCGATTCCTTAGGGACAAATACTCGAATTTCGGTGGTGCCACTTATTATAAGATAGCACCACATCAATTCTTGAAGGTCTTCCTGAGTCCGTCTTATTCGATGGGAACGATTTGTCTCCTGAACTGGGCTCCAGTGACTAACATCTTTGGAGTGGCCAGGGTCAGAAGCAGTGAAATTCACGTTCTCGTCGAGCTGCCTCAGGTCGACAGTAGAACAAGATTTGTTTTTTGGTTCTTACTTTGTCTTGTTCTCATTTTTTTTTTTTTTTTTTTTGCTCTTTTAAGCCAACAGCACGTGGCGTTCTCAGACGGTCACCCATCCAAGTTTGCACCACGCCCGATGCTGCTTAACTTCGGTGATCGTACGGGAACCGGTGTGACCAGCACGCTATGGCCGTTGGCTTTTTTATTATTATTATTATTATTATTTATTTTCTTGTATTTTTCGCGAATCTCTCTCTCTCTCTCTCTCTCTCTCTTTTCCCCTCATTTCGAATAATTTGTTTCAACGAGCGAACAAAAAAAAAAAAAATTGAAACTGTGCAAACTTACTTTTTACTTTTCTTTTCTTTTTAACGTAATAATAATAATAATGATAATAGTAATAATAAAAGGTTATTGACAGTTGATTAAAAAAAAAAGAAAGAAAAGAACGTAGGAGAAAACAATGGTTGGTACATGAATTTATATTGGCGGGTTTTAACGATCAAAAACTTCAACTCCCTAAAAATAACGACGGTAATAATAATAATAATAATAATAATAGCAAACAACAACAACAACAACAACAATAACATTCAGGCATTCGTTTCTTCGGAATTAAAAAATATTAACAACAAAGTCCGAAAACGAATTTGAAAAAATAAATTAATAATAATGATTATGATTATGATTATGATTATGATAATAATAATAATAGTGAATGAAAGAGAGAGAGAGAGAGCGAATAAAAAAAAAATTTTC